GATTGGGTCAAGTATCTCGAAGGAAATACCAGTTAAACAAGGGGTACCACAGGGTTCCATTCTGGGACCATTCTTCTTCTCAATTTACATTTCTGACTTCCACGAGTACGTTGAACACTGCAGTATTCATCACTATGCTGACGACACTCAATTGTACTTTGGCTTTGATATTGAAGATTTAAAAAATGCCGAAAATTTGATTAATAATGACTTAATCTCAAAATTAACCCCTTAAAATCATCCGCAGTTATATTTGGACCAAAAATCAAAAAAAGTCAGGCAAAAGCATTACTATCATTGAGCATTTTAGACCGATCGATCCCTATAAAAATGAGTGCAAGAATTTAGGACTCCGGATGGATTCCGATTTGAGGTTTGATAAACATGTTAGTCAACTGTGCCGGTGTCTTGAAGCAATTATTTCCTCCTATTAAACGTATGAGTACTGGCATCAAGCTGAAGTTGTGCGAAACCTTAATATGGTCTAGAATTCACTACTGTGACTGTATTTATGGGTCTGCACTAAGGTCGATTGAGATAAGGAGACTTCAGACTATTCCAAATGCGTGTTTCAGATTTGCTTGTGGATTGAGAAAATTTGAGATGTCACACATATATATCGTGAGCTGGGTGTTCCAAAAATAGAAGAGCCACGTATTGACCTTGACCCATAAAGTAATCACAACACATGCCCCTTCATATCTATCAACCAAATTTATGAGATACTCAGATGTTAATCAACTGAACACAAAGAATAAGCATATCCTGGTTATCCCGAGACATTCAACATCTCTATTTAAAAGGTCGTACATATATACTGCTATCAAGCTATACAACGCGTTGCCTACCGAGTTCACTCACTACCCTGTAAAGAATTTCAAAAAAAGATTGAAGCATTTTATCTCTGATTTCATTGCCCACTGAGTACCTATGAATAGGGACTCGTTACAGGTTTTTTTTTTACTTTTTTGCTTTCATTGGGATTGGAAAATTTATACGAATATTTGTGGGATTAAGTGGAAAAACGCTTTTTAGCGACACTTCGCCTTTTTATACTTTGTATAAATAAAGCCGGATTATTATTCTTATTATTATAATTCTAATAAACATACGTAGGTGTTTACTCGTTTAAAGATATTGACGAAATTTCAAGCCACTCAGTCCAAAAGAATGCCTGGTTTGAACATAGTAAGAATTTCTGAATTATACTAAGTGACATATAAATCCGAACACCCAGTTTAAATGGTTTTATTTTAATAAAATTTTGTATAAGTACTTAATGAAGCATAATAAGTAAATGATAAAAATTTCAAAATGATTGCACTGCTTTAAAGCCTTTGACCTTTAATAATGTGTGGATGCACCCTGATGTGCTACGCATTCTCCAACGCGCCTAGGCATGCTTCTGATCAGGTGGTCAATGTCCTCCTGTGGTATCTCATTCCAGGCAACCACCAACTCCTCTCGAAGTGCTTCTAGAGTCTGAGGAGGACGTTGCAAATTGAGCAATCTCCTACCCATCATATCCCACACGTGCTCAATTGGGGATAAGTCGGGAGATCTTGGTGGCCATGGTAACAATGTGACATCATTATGTTGAAAGAAGTCTATTGTGACTCTTGCAACATGTGGTCGGGCATTATCTTGTTGGAAAGTTGGATATGCCAGGGTGTCAAGATAGGGTAAAAGATGGGGTTCTAGAACTTCGTGGATATAACGCTGCGCGTTCCAGTTACCTCTGATGAAGATTAAAGGTGACCCGGAACCATAAGCTATAGCACCCCAAACCTTAACTCCAACAGTGTGATGAACATGTCTTTCAACAAAAAACTGTGGATTCCTCCTTTCACCACGTCGCCTTCTAACCCTGGCACGACCATCGTGCATGCCTAAACAAAATCGAGACTCGTCACTAAAGACAATACTGTTTCATTCCTGATCCCAGAGTGACCGTTGTCTGCACCACTCAAGGTGATTACGTCGGTGTTCTCGAGTTAAAGGGAGGACCCAGTGCGGCCGGTATGAAAACAAGCCAAAACTTCTCATTCGTCGGTAAACACTTCGCATGCCAATAGGTCTTCCGTGTTCTGCAAACCATTCATTTGCAATGGACCTGGTAGTGGAGGAAGGGTCCCTTAAGGCCAATAAGGCGGCGATCTTCACGGTCTGTTGTTCTACGGCGGCGTCCAGTGCCCCTTGCTCTTTGCGTACGGCCTTCTCGAAGCCGTGCCTGACAACACCTAACCACAGTGGCTACACTTCTTTGCACTCTAACTGCAATTGCCCGAAAAGAAAGTCCAGCTTCCCGAAGTCCCACTATACGGCCCCTATCAAACTCACTAAGTTGACGAAATCGTACAGGTCTCCGTACTCTAGGCATCGTAACCGATCGTAAAGGATGTCAAGAACCAAAATCCGCCAACGTTGATTCTTTACTGCGGCTGAAATATTCATTTTTAGAGCGTTAGTGAATTAAAAAAAAGCAGTATAAAAACCGGAATGTCCAACTGATAAGGCTGAACATTTTTTCACTTGTTATTTACAGTAAGATAAATACATTCACCAACTTTTATTAAAATAAAACCATTTAAACTGGGTGTTCGGATTTGTATGTCACTTAGTATATATAGAATAGAATCCTGAACGCTAGGTTGGATTTTGACTGACAGGCATAAAAAATGGCGTCAAGTAGATTGACTCATACTTCCCACGCCTTCTTTGGAGGTTTCAAATGAAAGGTATGAGTTTGAAGCGATATCAAAAGGCGAAATCGATTAGTAGTTAGGTAGGTTTATTTTGGTACGATGAATCTCAGATTTTTATGTACCAAACTACATAAAGCAAATTTATGATATTTCGGTTTCCATGGCAGTTGTAGGGAAAATATGTGAGACTTATTATGCTGAACAGGTGCACAGTATCACCTAATAATAGAAGACCTTTCACTGACACCAGATATGCAACAATTTACAACCGTACATACAGTCCGTATATTTACCATTGAAACAGATTAGATGATAGGTTCATTTTTTATAGTTTGAGATGTAATAATATTAATTTTACAACAATTGGTATACGTATCGCACCTATTTCACAAGTCTTCTGAATCAACTTCGTGTCAAGTATTTAGATCGACTCTACAGGGTGTAAACGTTATGATAGTCATTATTTAAACGAGTGATAGAGGGTGTTAAAAGAAGCAAAAAGTTTCATATAACATGGGGGCCAAAACGGCATTTTTTTTAGAGAAAAGTGACTTTAAAGTAAAATAAAATCTGCCAACGCCGCAATGCCAGACGCAAATTACGACGTAACGCAGTGTAAATAAAGATAGAATTTTTTATTTTTGGCTGTTAGGTATTATTTCATTATTTGATAATGTACTCGTAAGATGCAAACAATTAAAAAAAAAACGGCAAGTGAAAGTTTATTGAACGTATTAAAAAAATCCACTTATAAATATGAAACACAATTTTGATACATACATTGTTTTTCTTTTTAAAACCCACACTGCACTTTCTTTGTATTTGAAGAAGGTGTTCAAAATGTCGTCCGACACTTTCCACACAAGCTTCATTACGACGAAACCACTTTCTTCTTACTCTAGGTCCTCGAAGTTGCCCATTTATTATTTCAACGGCTTTAAAATTTTTTTCGTGAAGTTGTGCTTTAGTTGTTATTGGACCAGCCCCATAAACTATCCCTTTAAGTTCTCCCCAATACCAGAAATCCATCGGATTGAGGTCAGGAGATCTTGCTGGCCATTTTCGAGAACCAGGAGCATTTCCACCGATCCAGCGATTTGGATAATGTTCATTCAAATACTGAATGACGCCTAAAAAAATGTGTGGTGGTGCCCCGTTATGAAGAAACCACAAATTCGGTCTCCGTTGTAATGGCATGTTGTCTAAGGTCTGTTCCAAAAGTTCTGGTAGGTTCATGGGTAGAGAGCTAAGGTATCCTTCTCCTGAAAACTTTGGGGGTAACTCGAAAGGGCCAATTACCTTATCGTCAAGAATACCCGCCCAAATATTTATTTTAAAACGTTGTTCGAAATGACCTCCACGAATGGTAGGATTTTCTTGGGCCCACGTGTGAGTATTATGGAAATCTAATATCCCGTCTCGCGTAAAAGTACATTCGTCCGTCGCTAGAACGTTTTTATAAAAATCCGGATTTTCAATGTCTTCAAAGGTATGCGATAGTCCTACGCGGCTGCCTAATTCCCGAGTGCTGATATCTTCTTGTATCTCGAAGTCTTTGGTACGCTTGCACAAATGTCCTTCTGTCTGGGTGAACCCATTGGCGAAATCTGTCGCGATACATTTGAGCTGCAATATTTGAATTCTGACGAGCTTCATCGTAAACTAACAACATGTCGGCGAACTCTTGATTCGAGAACATTTGTAAGTAAACACGACGACGTACGCGAACAATAACTAACCACTGTTACCGTTTGCGATCGATTGCCGGTTCGATAAGAGTGATGAATGACCGACGCGCTGTTGTCACGTGTGTTTTAAATACTTAATTTAATGAAACTTACTTACTGACTACAAATTTTGGGTTAACTTAGAAAAACCTAACGCCATTTATTTGTTAATTACCCGTTTTAAAAACGTTTTAGATTGGATTATAAAAATTAGTAAGATTGTGGTGATTTGGGTCGATATAAAGCACTTAAACTTGTAACCGATTAAGTCAGTTAGACAAAAATCTATTGACTTTTGGACCATGGGTCATGTGAACTTTTTAACTGGTTTTGATCCCCCCTATTAACGTTTACACATTCACTTAGTCTTATCTATTTCTATTCTTACTTGCTATAATTGCGCAGAAAGTATCTATTCAGCTCCACTTTTTAATGACACATTTTCCATCGCAATACTGTCTTTGTGTATCTGCTACCAATTGATTTCCGTTCTTAGAATCTAGATTATTTTGAAATAAAACTGTTTGTCGTAGCCAATGTAACTCGACGTTTTAATCTGATCTTACAGAAGCTCTTCACTGTAAACACTGCCAAGAGGTTCAGACTGGAAAGGAGGGACAAACGATCACTTTGAAGTGTGGACTGAAATGCGGCGAAGATGAGGGCAGCGTGATATGGAACGTAGTGGAAAATGAAAATTATATAGGTATGTAGTATAGAACAGGACTGTCTGACACGACATGAAGTTATTTGGTGAATTAAGTACGTTCTTCAGATAAAATTAAGGGTAGCGTGAGACAGCGTTTAGTAAATAGCCTCATATGAACAAATTTAGTGTGAAACTGTTTAGAACCTGTTCTAAATGATTTGATACTAAGATTGCACAGAGGCACTGTGCATTTTGAGTGGCAGTGGCCGCTAGAGACGCCAATCATTTCAAAAACCAGGTTTGCATATGGATGGAGAAGCTATACGAAAAATTATTAAAACCTCTGATCTGAAAATCTACAGGGTGTTTCAGTTTATTGTTGCATAACTTTAAGATTCGATCGAACTTTTAAAATTAATGCATAAAGTCTATATAAACATGGGTCGAAAAATGCGTGGCTTTCGAAATACAGGGTGTTTAAATTTACTTTCTAAAATAGTTTTTTTTTAAATATTTCGAACAATATTTGATGTATAATAGTGAAAATTGGTATACAAGAGTTTTTTGGTACGACAAAACGAACCATGGGCATAGTTTTACTGTAGCCGCTAGAGGGCGCTCTCTACTGTACCTGTAGTGTATTAAAATGACCGAAAAATTTTTATTAGTGCAATTTTCTGCTAATTGAATAAAAAACTGATTCTTCGCACTTTTCTGCATAAAAAAGCTCTCCTGTGAGTTTTCGTTATATTTAGCCGTTTTTGAGATATTCCGATTTTTAAGGTTCGATGCATTTTTAGCTATTCGGGAAAGAAATTTTCAGCATGAATTTAGTGTGAACGTGTGGATTGGTATCTACCGTAATCGACTATTTGGACCCTACCTTTTGCCCGCAAGGTTAAATGCTGCGACCTTCTTGGAATTTTTAAAGGCTGAACATGCAAATATGTGGGATGATGTTATGTTAGATTTAAGAAGATTGGCCTGGTTCCAGCTTGATGCTTGTCCAGCTCATTATTCGAGAATAGCTAGAAACTGGCTGGACGAAAATTATCCAGAAAGATGGATCGGCCGTGGAGGACCAGTCGCCTGGCCTCCACGATCCCCTGGCCTAAATCCATTAGATTTCTTTTTGTTGGGTTTTAAAAAAAAAGTGTACCAGACTCCCGTAACCACAAGAGATATGACAATAGACAGAATCAGGAATGCATGTGATGAAATAAGGCCTTATTTGAATAATGCTATACCACGCTCGATCATTCGTAGATGTGAATTGTGTATTGAACAATTGGGTTTACATTTCGAGCAACTACTTTAGATTTTGTATGTTTGTCCTAACTATCCAATAGCATTTTAGTTACAAATAATTAATTTAATTTGTTGAAAATAATATTGGAAAATTAAACAAATTAATATTCTGTTTTTTGTCTTTATTTGGAGTTAGGAATTATTGCAGTGTTTAAAATCTTAATTACTTGTAATGCCCAAATCGAAAATGTAAAAAATATCATTTTCCCATAAATAGTTAAAAGTGCATGGAACCTTAAATATCGAAATATCTCAAAAACGGCTAACTATAACGAAAACTCACAGGAAAGCTTTTTTATGCACAAAAGTGCGAAGAATCGTTTTTTTTTTATTCAAAAAGCATAAAATTGCAATAAGAAAAAATTTTCGGTCATTTTAATACACTACAGGTACAGTAGAGAGCGCCCTCTAGCGGCTACAGTAAAACTATGCCCATGGTTCATTTTGTCGTACCAAAAAACCCTTGTATACCAATTTTCACTGTTATACATCAAATATTGTTCGAAATATTTAAAAAAAAAATATTTTAAAAAGTAAATTTGTATTTTGGATTTGGATTTTGGAAGCCACGCATTTTTCGACCCATGTTTATATAGAGTTTATGCATTCATTTAAAAGTTCTATCGAATCTTAAAGTTATGCAAGAATAAACTGAAACATCCTGTATATCCATGTACCACAAAATTTTCGTACCTTTCAAATTACCTACATTTTTGAAGAATAGCATCGTTATTCCCGGTATTGTGGATAAAAGTGCTTGATTTTTTTTGTGAAAGTCCTCTTAGCTAAGTATTAGACATAAAAAACAAGTTTTCTATGAAAAAAAATTCGTGGAATGCAGGAAATCCACTTCAGTGTCAAATTTTCAAGGTGATCATGATTGAAATATTATTGTCGCTCCAAAAATTCCCAAAAATTTCTAGTCGCTGAAATTGGAGATTCTCAAAATTTTGTTAAACTTAGGAAGTCAAAAATCTTCTAAATCTTCAAGATTCACAATATGACCAAGAATTTCAAGATATACTAAGTGACATATAAATCCGAACACCCAGTTTAAATGGTTTTATTTTAATAAAAGTTGGTGAATGTATTTATCTTACTGTAAATAACAACTGAAAAAATTTTCAGCCTTATCAGTTGGACATTCCGGTTTTTATACTGTTTTTTTTTAATTCACTAACGCTCTAAAAATGAATATTTCAGCCGCAGTAAAGAATCAACGTTGGCGGATTTTGGTTCTTGACATCCTTTACGATCGGTTACGATGCCTAGAGTACGGAGACCTGTACGATTTCGTCAACTTAGTGAGTTTGATAGGGGCCGTATAGTGGGACTTCAGGAAGCTGGACTTTCTTTTCGGGCAATTGCAGTTAGAGTGCAAAGAAGTGTAGACACTGTGGTTAGGTGTTGTCAGGCATGGCTTCGAGAAGGCCGTACGCAAAGAGCAAGGGGCACTGGACGCCGCCGTAGAACAACAGACCGTGAAGATCGCCGCCTAAGATTATTGGCCTTAAGGGACCGTTTCTCCACTACCAGGTCCATTGCAAATGAATGGTTTGCAGAACACGGAAGACCTATTGGCATGCGAAGTATTTACCGACGAATGAGAAGTTTTGGCTTGTTTTCATACCGGCCATACTGGGTCCTCCCTTTAACTCGAGAACACCGACGTAATCGCCTTGAGTGGTGCAGACAACGGTCACTCTGGGATCAGGAATGGAACAGTATTGTCTTTAGTGACGAGTCTCGATTTTGTTTAGGCATGCACGATGGTCGTGCCAGGGTTAGAAGGCGACGTGGTGAAAGGAGGAATCCACAGTTTTTTGTTGAAAGACATGTTCATCACACTGTTGGAGTTATGGTTTGGGGTGCTATAGCTTATGGTTCTAGGTTACCTTTAATCTTCATCAGAGGTAACATGAACGCGCAGCGTTATATCCACGAAGTTCTAGAACCCCATCTTTTACCCTATCTTGACACCCTGGCAGATCCAACTTTCCAACAAGATAATGCCCGACCACATGTTGTAAGAGTCACAATAGACTTCTTTCAACATAATGATGTCACATTGTTACCATGGCCACCAAGATCTCCCGACTTATCCCCAATTGAGCACGTGTGGGATATGATGGGTAGGAGATTGCTCAATTTGCAACGTCCTCCTCAGACTCTAGAAGCACTTCGAGAGGAGTTGGTGGTTGCCTGGAATGAGATACCACAGAAGGACATTGACCACCTGATCAGAAGCATGCCTAGGCGCGTTGGAAAATGCGTAGCACATCAGGGTGCATCCACACATTATTAAAGGTCAAAGGGCTTTAAAGCAGTGCAATCATTTTGAAATTTTTATCGTTTACTTATTATGCTTCATTAAGTACTTATACAAAATTTTATTAAAATAAAACCATTTAAACTGGGTGTTCGGATTTATATGTCACTTAGTATATTTATTTTTCAAGGGTCTTAATTTAAAAATCTTATAAATCAATGAATTTAAAATTGAGAAAATCATAGAAATCTCCAACATTTAAAAAATGTGCAAATGAAAAAATTCAAAATCTTCTACTTTTTAATGAACCTTCCAGGTCTACAGAATTTTCAAGGTTTGCAAAAATCTCAGCATATTCAACATCTCATAATTATTGTAACAGTCAATATTTTCGTCACATTGTTTATTGTTATTAACAACAGTGCGGATAAATGAGCTTAAATTCTATCTGTGAAAATCCTCTATGTAAATATTACACTGAAAATAGTTTCTGCGAAAACCCCATTATGGGATGGTGGGATATATGAAAGAGCCGTAAAATGCCTGATTCAAAAATTCGTCCGGCGTTTAATCCGGCGTTCCGGTTTCGGCCGGCGGCGGATGTCGGCCATGAACTGCCGCATTAAATGAACAGCAGACTAATCGAAATGACCGTGCACATCGTCTGTATCTATTTCATTATCATTTTAATGGAAGCTGTCAGTGGTGCAGTTCATCCATTGTGCTCAAAAGCGGCATCCCAGAGAAGTTTTGCAGACGGGGCTGGCCACAAGATATCAATCGGGTTCTACCATTCACCCTACAATGTCAGCGCCGGTGTTCCACGGGGATCGCTTCAAAAGCCGTTCAAGTCGGCTGTTCGGAATCCAGATGACCGAGGAGTTGTTCTGGCACGAAAACATCTCGTTAATCGCGGGAAGTCTCGGGATCCTTCCGCACATATGGGACATTGGCGATCTTAATAATAATAGACGTTTTTATTTATCTACTGTTAAATTATAGTATAATAATAACAATGACAATACAGAAATTGTATAGCCACTATTACCGTAACTATAGTAGTATACTTCAGACCTTTTCTTCTTGTTAAACTTCGAAGTTGAGTCATTTATTTTAACAGTGAGTAGATCTGATCAAAAGAAATGTTTTTTTCCTTTAACATTTTTCTGGTAAAATTAAAGTAACAAAGTTATAGCCCTTTAGAAGTTTGAGTACCGCCCTGTCTCAATAATAATATTATGTGCTCGTGTTTGGCAACAACGGATATAATCCGCCTTATCGGTTCATCGCATCGGAAACAAAAAAGCGAAAGAATTTGAAACGCTTATCACGATGTTTTTACTACAATTTTATTCAGTTGTATTCAGTCAATGTCTCGGTCGGTAACGCGTGAGTGAATAGTGGTGTTTGTTGCGTGACTCAAACGAAATAAAAAATGGCACATGTTTACGAAAATGCTGAACCTGTGGACATGATTCTT